ACAATTGTACTAAGGCTCACTTAGAGGATCAATTGAGATATGGTTCTTAATCATTAAGACCTATCATAAAGCATAAAAGGTACTCTCCCTTCTTCTTAGAATGGAGAAACTTTTATCTTTCTGCCTACTTAACTCTTCTTATTCGTTCTGCTATTGATTTAAACATTTTCAATCAATTCAGAATTATACTTAATCATATTTACTAAACCTTTAGTAAATCATGACGAATGTCTTTGTTACTCTTATGGTGGACTTTGATCAACACACAACTTTGTGTACTTGATCTCCTAGTCCTTCACTTGACACTTTGTCAATGAATTAGTCTAATTTCCAAAATATGAAATTTCTCATTCATCGTGCAACCAAGTTGCATGATTCCAAGTTTCTGTCCAATTGAAACTTGGACGATAAGAAACTCTCCATATTTGGTAAATTCTTGACTTTCCATAACACAATAAGAAACAAATCCATTATTGCTAATAATTTTAACATCAATTTTTCATACACGCCATTGTAAGGATAAATAAATAAAATTTAAAATCAAAATTTATTTTATTGCGGAAAAATTTGTCCTTACAATGCAACTCATTGAAAAACTTATACTAATACATCTTTCTTAGCAATCTAATTCTAACTCTAAGTAGTAGCTCAAGAATCTAATCTTCGAGAAACGTGATAGAAATCCATTCCTTCACGGTTAGATTCTGCTCACTTCTTCCCTTAAGCTTCTTTTCTTTTCTTCGATCCTTCAAAACATCAATTGTAATCTTATGTATTCAGAATCTAGAATGAAGCTTAAAAGAGTTAGTCAATGGATTTTACCTAAATTAGAGCCATACGTTTCGACTCTCCCATCTCTTAGATCTCTTAGGTAAATAGGACAGCTTCGTCTCCAATGCCCCTTCTCTTGGCAATAAAAGCAAATTGACTCTTTTTGGAACAGAACATGGAACTACTTCAGACATCGCCTTTCTCTTATGATCAATCTTTTCAATCATAGCATGTCTTTCATTGCCATTGTCTATATCCATAGAGGTCTCGAAGGCAGATTCACCAATCAACTTTGCTTTTCTATTGCGCCAAACCATTGCTGATTCAGCAGCAATAAGCATATAGGTGAGATCTATAAGGGTCACGTCGCGGTTCATCATATATACTCTCTTACGAACTTTCTATATGATTTAGGAAGTGACTGAAGAACCCAATCAACAGCCATTTCCTCGGATCCCAACATTCTTAACCTATCAATGTGTGACTTCATCCCTAGGACGTGTGCACACACCGACTTTCCTTCTTTATGTTCGCTTGCCAAAAGGGCTTGAGTGATCTTGAACTTTTCAAACCTTTGAACTTGTGGGTTAGGGAGAATAATTGGAGGAGGAGGAGGAAGTGAAGCATGATCTCTTGTTCCTCGATCAAATCGTGGAATATCATCTTCATGTGGAATGCTTGTTCCACGGGATTTGGGAAGACCATGATTATCGAACTTTGACATTACAAAACGGGAGAAAAAAAATTCAAGTTAGTTGATCGATTGAATCCTTAGTAAATCACCCAAATGAGATACTAAGGCTAGGACCCAACACAATACGCTACAACCTAGAAAAGGGATGCCGTAATCTAGTTTGCAGAATATTTGAAGGTAAGTGAATGACGATTCACTAATTTCCACCATGAAAACGAAAAAGAAATTTAAGTTTTAAATCTATGAAAACTCCTAGATCCTTTGAGATTCATTGAACTTTCAATGGCATGTTTAAATCTCGATATGCCCCTCTTGTTTGTGACTGGGATGCCGAGGATCACAAAGCGGGTGTGAATAACCATGCAAACTTACATGGTGCCCTCACATGTTACAATCACCCATTCGATGTGCCGGTAAACCACACACGCTCCACCAAACTATGACAAACATTGAGTCACCCTTTGCAACCTTTGCTTAGAACCATTTAGTGTGCCGGTAAACCACACACGCTCCACTAACGTCTTCGCAAGGGCACAAAGTGTAATTTCATGGAATTGCATCAATTCACTTTTGCCTAAGTAACTAAGATTGGGAATTAGAAAAACATTTAGTTACTTTGTATTTCATTATACTTATAATGGAAGGTTTCGTCCTATCCTACCCGTTCGGCTAACGACCCTCCACTAGTCAAGAGTGCGGTGGGTAAGAGTGGATACCCATTCAATCGCCATTTTATAGGCAATTTCCTTAAACACCCCTTATAGACCAGCTTCGTGAATGAGGCCTACTACAGTAAGACTGACTTTTACTCATACATATATATAATGTTAGACTTTTAATGTTATATATATAATATAGGGTGCATTTCATACTTTTAAAATACTATGTGGTCAAATTTAATAATTATACCTTTAATTCAATTAAATTGCAAACCAAAACTTTTATGGATTTATTAAATCTCTTTTAATTATACACCTTAATTAATTAATAAAACCATAAGGGTGTGATTTGAACTTTTCAAAACAATACTAGGGTTTTAGAATTTAACACTCCTAATTAAACCTTTTTAATCAACTTTTAAATTCCAAAACTTGAGGGCAAGTTTTGAAACATTTCAAAACAATTTAGTTTTAATCTATCTTAAAATTTCGAATTTATGACATTTAAATTAAAATTTTAAATATTAAAACTCTTGATTTAATAATTATCTTGAATTAGACTATTATTTAATTATTAAATCATAAGGGATTATCTAAATAATGAGGATAATTACCATTTAGACATTTAAGTTATCCTAATCCCTTAAATATCTATATAGATTTCGAAAAATGGATGGATAATGCAAGATCTTGAATTACCATATATAACAATTAGAGGATAATTACAAGATATGGGATAATCCAAATCCCTAAAAATTAGGACCTTATCTTGGGGAGGAGGCAAATTTCGAAAAACAAGGGATTATAACAAACCCTAGATTTCGAAATTTAAGGGTTTAAGGAAAGGATTTGAAGATCTTATTCAAACTCTTGCAAATTAGGGTTTGCAAACCCTAATCTCGAAAAACCCTAGCCTCTTAGGGTTTATTGGCAATAAACCCTAATATATCAAGTTCATACAATTGAAACCAAACCAATGGCTCTGATACCACTGATGGGTTTTGGTCATAAGACATCCTATGTGCTCATACAAACCCTAATGCTTGGATCTAGGTTTCTCTATTGTACATGCTTTGAATCCAAGACTATAAACCCTAATTCTAGCATATGGAAATCAATATTAACATATAATTAGGTTTAAGATATTACCTTGATTGTTATGTAGCAATAACAATCCCAATTCCTGCTTGAATTGACTTTGGAATGCTTAGAGTCACAAGTGTCACTCCTCTAATGGCTTACAAACACCAAGAGCAAATGGAGAAGGTATAAAGAGAGAGGAGAGAGGTTAGAATTCATCCTTAGGACTTCTTGGGAACAAATACACGAATTCTAAGGCCTTAGGGTCTTTATATAGGTGTAGAGATAGGGTTTCAGTCATTATCCTTATCTAGTTGCTTATCCACAAAGCAACCATAAGATAAGCCTTGAAAACCCTTATCCTTTATCCTTTGGACGATTTCAAGGATCCTTATCTCCTTGAATTCGTTCAACCCATATTTAGGATAACCATTACCATATTTTGTAACTATCACATAATTACAATTCAGCCCCTCTAGTTTAATTAATTACACTTGATCACAAAATTAATTCCTAATTAATTATTGACCAATATTAATTAAGCAAATATGATTTCTCCTTTAATATATTATTCTTATAACATATTAATAAATCATAATAACCTCTCTCTCTTTATTTATTTCTCCAATCAAGTTGCTTTGGTGAAGGCAACCCAAAAGGATCATGCACCATCGGGTCAAGTACATACCAAAATAGTTATGGACTTAGACACTAATCCAACAACCCTAACTAGCATACAAAACTTTGATACTTGGGTAATAAAATAAGTTAGAAGACATACCTTTTGTTGTAGTTGGAAGCCTTGGACCTTTAAGAACTTAGTGCCCCAAGTGTTGCACCTCAAATGTAATTACACAACACCACTAACAAATGGAGAAACTTGAGAAGAGATCACTAGCACTTCATAAAATCGGCTTGCCCTCTCGTGTTTCCATTAGTCACTCCTTAGTGCCACTTATGTGTCAATTTCATGAGCTAGAGGGGTTCTTATATAGTGTGGCAAACTAGGGTTACACCATGTAAACCCTAATGACTTTTCATATCCCTCATGATCCATGGTTTAAAACCTCCATGGGGTTCTTATATAGTGTGGCAAATTAAGGTTACACCATGTAAACCCTAATGACTTTACATAACAATATTTCATGTCATTTATTTAAAACCTGTCAGATTGATGGCAACCGATCAGTTGGTTTAGAAGCAAGTTTGTAAGGATCTTCATTTATTATTATTATTATTATTATTATTATTCATTTATTTTTTATTATTATTATTATTATTTTGGTGGGGGGTGGGGGGGGGGGAGTGGGGGATTTTCATTAATTTGGTATACAAAGAAATTGACATTATAAGGGTATTTTTTTTTATTTGTTGTACAAATCAACCTTGTACGGGTCTTATATGGACATTATAAAGGTCTTCATTTATTTGTTGAACAAATTGAGCTTTTAAACCATAATAGCATCTCCTGAAATGGTGATTATACATTTTTCAATGACTTGTAAATGAATTTAAACCATTAGATATGTCTTCATTTATTTGTTTACAAATGGAACTTCTAAACCACATTAACATATCTTGAATTGTTCACATTGTAAAAATAATAATAATAATAAAACTGTCAAAATTACAATTTGAAATCAAAATTTCAATAAATTTAGCAATTCGAGAAAATTGATTATCGGAAAAATAAAAAGAACCAATTATTTAGTTAATATTACAACAAAATTATAAATATAATGATATAATTAAAAAAATAGATATCAAAATCAAAATTTTATTATAAGAATTTATCCCAAAAAAAATAAAAAATAAACTGTTTTAACTTAACTTGCCATACAAAGAACAAAATGAAATTGAAAATCGTACTTCAAGAACAACTCGACCATGTAGCAAAATCTCGTTCTCCAACCTCATGTGAACTTTATCGCCCTTTGAGACTTTAATGAACACGTGCTACCCTACTTTTTAACGGCAGAAATGCTTAAATTTTCTTGCGTTTCTCTCTCACACACTAAAGTGGTGGCTGCGTGTCTCCGATGAACTCCATATTAAGAAAATCAGTAATTGCTTTCCCTCCTCAAGATTCACACGAAATCGATATTAATTCTGTATTTGCTATATACGCACCCACATCTAAATCAAAAGAACCCTAAGCCAAGATTTTCTTTCCGAATTCATAAATTCAAAAGTATCCCACCAAATCCCTTAAAGTACTCACACAAATCTGTACTATATATTAGTTTGTACGAGGATTTTAGTTGTAGTAGCAAAAGGGGTGGTTTTGATTGTTTTGAATCGGTTCAATTTGATCGGATTGGAGATGGGGGCGATGACGTCGTCTGTGGCGGCGAAGTTCGCTTTTTTTCCACCGGATCCGCCGTCTTACAGATTGGTGGTGGACGAATCGAGCGATAGTGGGAAATTGAAGATGACGGATGTGTCGGAGAGAGCCAACGTTGACGTTCTGAAGCTGAAAACGAAAAGGGGGACGGAAATTGTGGCGGCGTATGTCAAGAATCCGGTGGCGTCACTCACTGTGCTTTACTCTCACGGCAACGCCGCTGATCTTGGTCAGATGTATGACTTGTTCTGCGAACTCAGTGTTCATCTTCGAGTTAATTTAATGGGGTTAGTCTCAATTTCCCCAATTTGTTCAAAAAAACATGAACTTTTGGATCATTTCTCTTACATGATGAACACTTGATACATCACAGGTATGACTACACTGGATACGGGCAATCTTCCGGGAAGGTAGGATAATTTGAAAGTCTGAAACAAATCAAATACGTTATACACCTATGATTTCGATATCAGTTTGCTAAATTACACACCTTTAATCATCTTCACAGCCTACTGAACAAAACACATATGCCGACATTGAAGCTGCATATCGATGCCTTGAAGAAACGTATGGTGTAAAAGAAGAAGATGTCATCTTATACGGTCAATCCGTAGGAAGTGGACCTACCCTAGATTTAGCTGCCCGTTTATCAAGATTACGGGCAGTTGTTCTTCACAGCCCAATCATGTCAGGAATCAGAGTCATGTATCCTGTTAAACGAACATATTGGTTTGATATATACAAGGTCAAAATTCATTATTTACAATTAATCAATCATCACTATTGACTACTAGTCTTTATAGTTTATAGTTACTGTTTGTTCTTATGATGCAGAATATCGACAAAATCCCATTAGTCAAGTGTCCTGTTCTGGTTATTCATGTACGTATTTGTGAAATGTGAAGTCATATCCAAATTGTGGGACCCGTTTAATCATTTTATCGATAATGTTGTGTTTTTATCAGGGTACGAAAGATGATGTTGTGGATTTTTCACACGGGAAGCAGCTTTGGGAGCATTGTGTGGTAAAATACGAACCTTTATGGATCAAAGGCGGGAATCACTGTGATTTGGAACTCTTCCCGGAGTACATTCGACATTTAAAGAAGTTCATATTGGCTGTTGAAAAGTCAACACGTTTAAAGAACTCTTCGGGTTCATTAACAGATAATGATATTGATTGTAGAGAGAAATCAAGACCCAGCACAAGTACAGAAAAGTCAAGACCGAGTGTTGACCAACCTGAGAAAGGAAGAAACAGCATTGATCGGTCTGGTTAGCTTAAGCTAATTCCTTCATTCGTTTATTTGTTTATTTGTTTACTTTGATTATTAGCTATAAATGTTGTTGAAATGTGGATGATTATGGCAGATTTGGAGGTATGATGAAGGCGGCAGTGTTGTGCAATATTGATTGTTTCAAGCCCACGGGTGCAATGGAGGTGGAAGGATCGTGATTTTGTGAAGATTTATGTTTATTAAGTCGGGTATTTTGTTGGTTTACTTGTGTTGATTTGATTGTGAGTTGTGAAGTGTTGTTAGATAATGAAAAGGAATTGATTTTAATTAGGTAGATGTATGTATGTATCGTATAGATTCTGTCAAAACTAATAATGTTTATCTTGGATTGGAAGACATTGGAGGGATATGTCTTTTGTACAAACAAGAGGTGCAATTTTTATCTCATTGACATTATATGTCAAACATAATACACCTTGTTCTGTTTTGTCCGGTAGTCTTGTTTGTACAAAAAAAAACATGGTTCTTTGGGGAACAATTTATTCTCAATGACTCCTTTTGGGGATCATGTGTTGATGCTTGATTGTAATGAATGGATGTGGTTCGACTTTTTTTTGTGTAGACTTCGATGTGAATCAAGCATGCTTGGTGTTACATTAATAATGGCATTTCTTGTTTCAGGTGTTGCTTTTAGATCATGTGATTGTGTCTAAAAGGTATAACGCTTGCTCTTTGTGGAGTTGAGAGACCATTAAGTACAAATCATGTAATGTCTACACCTCCCAACTCTCAACAGTGACGTAATGAAAATTAAGATATTAAAAATACACATTGTTAATCATATACATATACTTGCTTCGTCTCATATTAATAGTTTATATTTTATTTTTAATTTGTTCCAAAATAATAGGTTACTTCTAAAAATAAATATCTTTTACTAAAATATTTCTCATTATTAGTTAATATATTATGGAATTAAATGCAACAAAATGGTAGATTGTCATTTTATTTAATAAAGTTAGAGGTAATTAATGTTTTCTTAATATGTATGTATTTTTTTTTTGTTTGTGGATAATAATTTTGAAACGAAAAGAGTATTTTTTGTTGTGTGTGTGATAAAATCAAATTAAAAAGTGGCAAGGTAAATTATGTTGGTGCATGTTGTAGAAGCTTCTAATTAAGTCTCAACATTTAAATGCAACTCCCTCGGTTATACTTCTATGTGAGTTTGTATGATATGCAACAAAATAGTGTGCACCGAAATAAGAAGGTTTAGACGTTAAGTTTGATGATTTAACAATATTTAAACCAAAACAAACCGAAAATTCTAATTTTGTTTGGAACGTTATAATTAGCTTATTTTTCGAATTATTTTAAGTTGTCATAATTGGAAAATCAAAATTAACTTATAAACCAGCTTTTTAAAAAATTACTTAGATTAATTTTTCAGAAGTTTTTTTTTTTTTTTTTTTTTTTTTAATTTTCAAATATACCTCTTAATTAATTATAGAAAACACATTATTTTATATATCATTTTATATCTTTTAGCTAGTTTTATCAAACGTTATTTTTTATCATTTAACTTTTCAGCTATCAATTTGTTTTTCATATAATAGTTAGTTTTTTAGCTATCACCTAAAAGCTAAACAAAACATAAATATAAACAATTATAATATAAGTATGTAGTATGTACACTAGCTATAGGGTATGTAGTATTTACACTAACTATAACTATCACCATATTTTGGTTAAAGGCTAGTGAAAGATATACTAATTTAAGTAGTGTCATAATTTAGTTAGCGATTAAAAAAATTGATTACCAAATATAAGGTTATTAAAAGTAAAGAAAAAAATATCACAATGGGTAATTGTTATATATATATATATATATATATATATATATATATATATATATATATATATATATATATATATATATATATATATATATGATTTTCTATTTTTGTAACAAAATTAACAATACAGAACTTGAATCCAACAATATTAACTAGGGTTTTTGACATTGTAGCTCATCAATGGCTACATCAATGTTTGGTCAATTTGCACATTTAGTCACTAATGTGTTTTTTTGCTCAATTGATCATTAATGTTAGTAAATACCGGCTAATTAAAGGAATATGAGAAAATGTTACCGGTTTAGGGGTCATTGTTGACGTGTATTGGCTTATATGGACAACCATTTGACCATGTCATCTTATAACGTGGAAACCTTCCTTAAATGGAACCCTCATTCGAAACACCGACGATACATTGTTACCCCAAATTAGGTCAGTGCCTCCCTCTCAATACTCTACACTCAAACGATATAACCAGAGCAATGTATGCCTCCTCCGGTCGATCGATCAACCTCCTGCGTGTCGGAAACCTTCGTGATGATGAACTTTATCCATCTCGTGATTATAAAGACGCAATAAGCATGGAAATAACTGTCTAGACTGACGATAACGTAGCTCGAAGATTTTCGAATTGCAAAAACTCTTTGGTGAGTATTCCTTTTGTTTACGTACACCGTATTTGTTATTTTTGAGCTGGAAATGTACACATTTTCGTTAATCGTAACCCTAACCCTAATTTTGGTCTTCCCTTGTAATCAGTCGGCTGAAGGTCCAAAATGCAAGTTTTTTATGTGGAAAGACAAAGCAATGGAGGAGGGTTACTACAAAGACCAGCTTCGCAAGATGAGGTTTAAGCTGAAAAGGAAAGAAGACTTCAGTGAAGTTTTGAAGGTTCAAAAGAAGTTGGTTAAGCTGCAGCAAGCTATGGAAGCAAATAAGCATGTGTCTGAGACACAATTGACGAAGTTGATGAAACAAAACAATCTGCTGAAGTGTGGGATCTTTGTTATGGTCACTGTAGTCATTTCCATGTGGTTGAAGTGCCCTTGAAAAGTGCAGCTAGTCAAATAGGTATTTATGGTTTATGGTATCTAATTCCAACTAGTTTTTTGGAAAGTATATGGGTAGATGTAGAAAGTTGTTTTCTTTTGGGAAGTGTATGGGTGTATGGGTACATGGTCATGGTTAGATCCTAGTTGTAATGTATCGTTGGGTTTTTGGTTGAATGCTTATTTGATTAGTATGTGTATGGGATGGTAGATGTGATGGGATGGCGGAAGATGGGAACAATTGTAATGAAATTTTGTAGATTCAATTAATGGCATGAAAGATCCTACTTGTTATATACCTTGCTAAATTTAATGATAGCATGTGCTCCTTTTAAAAATTGAAGTGTGGGTACCACATTGTCAGCCATAAGGACTACACTTGGTCCATTTAAAAGTGCATTGTGTTTTGAATTCTGTGCAGGGGTCCTTTTGTGCAAAAATAAGAGCATATGGACCATACATGGTATATAAGGACATAATCAATGACAATTTAAAATTAGCAATATATGGAAATATATTCCTTTGTCATGCAGTTTAACCACACAAGTCCTTGCCATGCATGCAACTTCAAAATAACACAACAAAAGCTCAAAATAACAACCAACTTGGTTAATACAAAATATACATCACATAAACCAACATAGTTTCATATAAGCAACCATTATTGACAACAGTTTCATAAAAACAACAAGAGTATACCAAAACACATAATTTCACACTACAAACCATGTTCATATCATATAAATCAACACCTAAACTTATTCTAGAGTAAGAGGTCTAGCTTTTGAATTCCCAAGTGCATCTGCATCACCAACTATTTTGCCCAACTTCAACTTGATAATCCTTTCAGATTTCTTCCTCCTGATTTTCTTCAAAAAGGATACAGTTGATGTTTCTTTAGCCTCCTGTTGTTGCACATGAACTTGACTAGGTACTCCATTTCCTGATGCATCAAACTCCAAAGGAGTGAGTTCCACCTCATCATATTGTTGTTGCACATGCACCTCAATGACTACTTCTCCACCATCATTTACTGCTCCTCCACCATCATTGACTGCTTGATCACCCTCATGCACTTTATCACCTTTATTCACTGTTGTGACGTCCCCAAATTCACAGTCATTTTAAAAATTATGTTTATGCTTATTTAAAAATTAGAGTATTCATTTTAAAGAATAATATTGCGGAATTTGTTCCCAGAAAACATGATAAATATATTATCAAAGCATTTCCAAATAAATGTATTTTGTTTATATTTAAACTGAAACATCCCAAAAATACAAACCAAAAAAAAAAAATCGTCTTGAAAGTAATATAAAAACCATAATCACCCATAAACATAAACAAAACCAAGTGCCATGTATTTCGAAATCTCATATCCAATACTGTAACAAAACATAAGATAAAAATATCAGAGTCTCAATCAATCTTGGGCTGGAAGCTGGAGTGTGTATGTTATGCGATCATCCCGAACTCTTCCCTTTGCTAGTGGAAGTACCTAAAACCAAAACTGTAAACTGTAGACACGAAGCTTTGTGAGCTCCCCCAAACTACCACGTACCATACAATAACATATAAAACACATATTGGACCCCGACCACTGCATCGGGCCCCGCCCGACATCGGACAAATCCGGCATCGGGCCCCGCCCGGCATCGGACCGAGGTCCAACATAACTTTGGGCCCCGCCCCTACATCGGGCCCTGCCTGACATCGGATCGAAGTCCAGAACATATAACACATAACATAACATGCATGAATCACAAAGACATCAAGCATACATAACTACTTCTCAGGACCACCCCGACATACTAAAACTACATAAATGGACCGGTATTGGTGCCTTAGACCCGTTCCTACTGAAGGAAAAACTCACCTCTCAACCTGGCTACTGAAACTCGTGCAAAGGTGACATTGTCTGCTACTCCAACTACTCCCCGACTATCATAACCAAATAAACACTTAGTCAAAAACTAAAGGTTCTTATATAGGTGAAATAACTATTTTACCCCCTTTGATCTAATTTTGTAACAGCCCGGAAATTCAGGTATTATTATTATGTTGTTTTGGGGTGTTTTAGGAGGGGGACTCGGCGAGTTGGGGCCAGACTCGCCGAGTTGGACCACAGACTTGGTCGCGGGTTCGCGACTGGACTCGACGAGTCCAGATATGGACTCGGCGAGTCTGCGCTGTTCAGCGGAAACCCTAGCCGTTTGGTTTTGGAACGTATAATGCACTTATAGGCCGTCATTGTTCGTCTTTAGTCGACTGAGAAGAACCCTAATCTGTAACGTCCGAAAAACACAACCAATTTAAAATTTTCAAACAACCCGATTTTCATTAAAATGTTTACAAAAGGGTTTTCAATACAATTCATTTAAGTATTCCCAGAATCATGTCGTTACGAAATCATAAGGAGCGGTACGATCGCGCCTTCGCCTTGCCACAGTCTCCTGAAGAACCTGAAAAAACATTAAACCACAACTGTAAGCCCGAGAGCTTAGTGAGATACCCCCAAGATACCAACCACGCATACGCCCTTCCAGGCTACGACCTTCCGGTCCAAAACATATAAATCATACATAACATAACAGAACATAGAACAACCATGCATATCGGGTCTAACGTGACTGGTCCGCCGTATCGGGCCTTCAGTCCTTCGGATCCATCCTCCGGGTCTAGTCATGTCCTTCGAGTCTACAGTGGGGTTGGTCCGCCCGCATCAGGCCTTCAACCCACCTGGTCCACTCTCTGAGTCTACAGTGTGACTGGTCCGCCCGCATCGGGCCTACAGTCGGCCTGGTCCACTCTCCGAGCCTCGGCACGTCTGGTCCGCCCTCATGGGGCCTACAGCCTATCCGGACCGCTCGCTGGGCCTTCGGAACAACCGGTCCGCCCTGGGTATCTTGGCCTACAGCACAAAGCAGGACCCGCCTCAACCCATCTCCAGTCCAAACAACCATGTGCACAAAACATACATTCATATAACAGTCATAATCAACAAACCGAGTAAACAGATCACATAGCATATCATTACTCTAACCGGGCTACCGACCTACCCGTTCACTAGCATAGCATTACTCTGCATATCGAGAACTGACCTTTACAAGGCCCCTAGCATGTATCATCCTAACTACCAGGATGCAGACACAACCAACAACAACATGATAAACGTAACTAATCTCAATACAATAAAGGGCCGGCCTTGGTGCCTTAGACCCTGTTGATATAGTGAGGATAACTCACCTCGAAACTGACGGCTGAAAAGATAAGATCCCGCTGCTTCGAACTCTGACACAACTCCTCCACTGAACATCAACAATAACCCAATAAATACCCATAATTACCGAAATACCCCTGGAAGACAACTGATCAACCCTGGACAAGTCAAAGTCAACCCCTGACAGACCCTACTCGCCGAGTCAACCCGATGACTCGCCGAGTCCTTATGCTCAGACTTCCCTCACTTAGTGACCCAACTCGCCGAGTCACCCCAAGACTCGTCGAGTGCAACAACTCTGAGTCCACTCGCACCCAACTCACCGAGTCACCCTCGACTCACCGATTCGACGACTCAACCAGGAATATTGGGACTTCTTGACATGACTCGCCGAGTCCAACTGGACTCGCCGAGTCCAAGGCAATCTTCAACCTACTCGCCGAGTTGTTCTTCCAACTCGTCGAGTTCAAGGCCATCTTCAAGCAACTCGTCGAGTCCACCCATGTGACTCGCCGAGTTCCACCGGTCTGAATCCATACAGAAGCATCTCAGGCCATGCAATTGATCCAAAACATAGATCCAGCCTCCTACAATCCATCCATCACGTAAAGTGGCAAACTTTACGTGAATCAAACGAGATCTAGGCCATTTTCACCTTAAAACCAAGGTTTGGGACATGATAGCTTCACTCATAGCACAAAGGTTGGGACTTTAATGCACTCAATGACTTCTCCACTCCAGATCTGAGGTAGCAACCTCAGATCCATCCTCCAACACCAAAATGTCACACAACCAAGCATCCCACACAACCCCAAATGATGAAACTAGGAATGCACAGCTTAAGGACGAAGATATTACCTCCAGAAGATGCCTCAATAACAGCTAAACACGAATCCAAGCAAAGCCCTTTGATCCAAACCACTTCTCCTTCAAGATTTCTCCAAGCAACACCTCTCCAAGCTCCAATTTGCTCCACCAATGCTCTTCTCCACGAGATTAGGGTTTCTGGAACTCAAGGGGGGAATAAGAGAGGCTGTGGAGGGGTATAATGTTCTTTATATAGGGCTCAACCCCGGAAACTAGGGTTTTCTCCATACAGCACCTACTCGCCGAGTCCATACTTGGACTCGCCGAGTAGGCCACTCGGCACGCGACCATGACCGCGACCTGACTCGCCGAGTCTATCCATGGACTCGCCGAGTCATCCTCTAAAACTTGCACTTTCAGCCCTTCAACTCTACTCTTGCGATTCCGGGATGTTACAATTCTCCCCCACTTAAATTAGGCTTCGTCCTCGAAGCCTTCGGCATCTCATCTTCAATTTACTTCCCACTATGCGCCACTTGACCTTGACCGAACCAGCCCCTCAAAGTACAACCATAGAACCAGAAGCTCACTTTCTCCTTCCATACGGTGTTCCCACCACCTACTCAAACCGGCACCCCTGTACCCTCCGATAACCACACTCAACAACCGAGAATTACCCATGATGCCTTACTGCTCCAATTCTCATCTTTCACTTGACTCACATGGCTATAGAGCCACGAACCCTCGGATTCCCGATCCAAATTCCACTCTACCCTTACCATGACGACCGAAAGACCATTCTTCCATTTCGGAGCAACTCCCCCGAGTTCTCCTATCGCAATCACACATACATGCCGATCTAGCTCTAGCACCCTCAGGTGCGGATAACCTGATATACAGACGATATCCTCAACATCCTTCCAGAATAAACCACTGGCACATACCCAGAACCCTGATCATGATCTCACTGAGAGTCCAAGACTCTTGCTCTGCATCCCTTCCGAACTCCCTCCCTGACTCCACGTTGCGATATTCCCTCTGCGCCCAAAGCAACATATCGAGTCGAATAAGCTTATATTCCGCCGCCGCAACACACTACTCAAAGATCATCGACGGACCACAGTGATCGCAACTCCACATTGCCGCTTTCACTTCCGTGAATTCGCTCTCCCTTGCCGGAGTTTCATTCCTCCCTCTTCCTTACCAAGGAAACCACTCGTCTGCCCGCTCATCATGACAGGCACCCTGGTGCCCATCCTGCGCCACATTACCTCCCTACAGCGCACTCAACATCCATGCGCTACCGCTACTCTGCCTCTCATCACAAGGGCTCTCAAGCCCATGCACTACCTTTACCGCTAAAGATCGCTCGCCGGGCCAGACCTCCCAATGTATTCCCACTGCAACATACGCAACCCATAACCTCCAACCGATCTAACATTACCCGCAGAGTCTTCAGCATGACTGGACCGCCTCCCCGGGCCTTCAGCCAATCTGGACCACTCTCAGAACCTTCAGCCAATCTGACTGGACCGTCCTCCGAGCCTTCGGCCTGACTGGTACGCCTACGGCCTTCAGTCTATCCGGACCGCTCAACAAGCACTCATCATTCCGAACTATCTCTTCAGGAAATCCTCCCGTGCATACCGTTCTAACCCTCTAGGGGTTCCGAACTCTATCTCCATCCTACATGCTCGATCCCGGCCTGCCCCATGCCTTCCTCAATCAACTGCTCTAGGTCTGTATTCGCCCCGCACGCCTATGTTACTCACCATACGAGCCTGCTCTCATCTAATAGAAATACCGCTGAATTTCCCAAGCAGCTAAACAACCTCTCAGCCCAACGATCATCCGGAGAATTTCCAATTCTCCCCCACTTAAGACACTGACAGATAGTCACCGGTTGCCATCATCGATCTCCCAAGCAACCTTGCAGGAATCAACACATGCACTCAAGTGTTTCACCAGCACCAACAACTTTCATACCATCATGTCCCATGCTGCACAACCTGCTCGAAAGGAACCCAATCTTCAACTATCAATTCCTCAGACTACCGAATCTAACTGCCTCAAACCAACGCCGCATCCGCCACCAATCCTCACAAAGATAATCAACGATAGCTCGAAGTACAAACCATAACGATCCCCAGGGACACAAGATACTAAAACCAAAATCTCGATCACAACTCGCCAAACCCTCAAGGAACAATGAATACCACAAGAAACCCGAAACGCAATTCCATAACCAACCAATGAAACCAGCAGATATCAATACTCTACAACAATCATAAATAATCAAAACAGCAGAAAGAAATACCCGAAGCAGCAAGCTGAAAAACACGGCCCTAAGCCCTTGGGGGCTCTGCTCCACCCTGACCTCCACCTGTGATCCTCAACGTAGCCGGTGCTGGAGCCTGCACCGATCCGCAGCAAGCTGTGGACAGTTGACCTTCAAATGTCCAACCTGATGACAATGATAGCATATCCTCAAATCCCGAACCGGCACTGACTGCCGACAATCCCTCGCATAGTGTCCCTCCTTCCCGCACTTGCGGCATGCTCCACCGGACCGACAAACCCCGGCATGACCCCTTCCACACTTACCACAGACGTGGCCACCCTGATCTCCCATCCTGAAATCAACGGTCTTAGACCGTTTCGTCGCCGGCTGCGACTGAACCGGAGCTTGCCTCAGCTCCCGCATCTGTAACTCAATCTCTAACTCACGCCGCCTGGCGGCCTCCTGCAACTCCAGCAAAGTCTCGCACCTCTGCGCAGACACAAACTGTCTGATATCCCTCTTTAGCATGCTCAGATATCGAGACATCTGAGCCTGCTCCGAAGCGAACTCAGGGCAAAACATCGCCCGCTCAGTAAACATCCTGGTGATTTCCGTCACCGATTCTGAATCCTGTTTCAGCTCCAAGAACTCCTGAGCCAACCTCTCCCTCTCGACCTGTGGAACATAACGAGTACTGAACATCTCCCTGAACCGATCCCATGAAATCGCAGCCCTCTGCGCATCCGAGTACGATCCCGTGGTCAATCTCCACCAATCCTTTGCTCCGAGCCTCAACAGGTTCAAAGCACACCTCACCCTCTGATCAGCAGGGCATGAACACGTGAAGAAACATCCCTCCACATCTGATAACCACCTCATAGCAACGATCGGATCCTGAACTCCATCAAAAGTGGGAGGCTTCGTATTATCGAAGTCCCGATACTGAAAACCTCTACTGGCTCCTCCCCCTGCCGCCGCTACTGCTGCGGTAGCCGCCGCGGCAGCCGTCTCCGTGAGAGCCGCATAACGCTCATCAAAATACTCCACCATGGCGGTCTTGATCGACCCAAACAACTCTGGCAGCTCAGCCCGAATCAATGCAGCAACCTCATCATGCAGAATCTCGCGAATCCTCGCATCCAACTCGTGCGTACTCATCTGACTGACAACCTCTGGCTGTGCAGACCCACTTGGAGCTCCCTCTCCTGCTCCTGATCCTGACCCGG